AGAAGCATTTTAAAAATCATGCTCCCCACTTAACAAGATGAACAAATAATACTGCCCAAATATATTTCTAGTACTCAAGTTACTGTAGCACTACAGCTTAACAATGGATTTTCCATATACTACTTCCAGTGTAATATACTGCTTATTGACATGGCATGCCTCTTGCTGCTGGTGAAAAGGAAATGCATCCTAGTTTAAAGAAAATCAGCCCAGGATGACAAAAATATGAATTAATGATGATGTCTCTTACTGTCCTTTCTCTGATAATTTCTCATGTTTCATCTTTCACTGCTCCTTTTTTTTTTATGCTTTTGTCACTAGCACTTGTGAATTTAGTACCAGGCATACACATTTATTAAGATGATTTTTGGTTAGAAGCACAACTCTATACTGCAGTTCAGTGTGAGCCTTGGCTGTGTTCAACCCTGTCCATTAATGGTGTGAAAGAAATCAGAATCAAAGAGTAAGTCTCACACAGCACCTTGGAACAGGTAAATACCTTGTGTTTTTGCTTCCTACTTTTTTCAAAAGTAGTTGTCTTTTTTTCCCCCTCCTCCTCATCCACCCCTGCTTCAGCAATATAATAGACTATCTCTGAGTTAAACCAGGAAGATACTAAAAAAAATCCCTGTGAAAATATACCTACACACAAGGGACTCTACTGTTACCACTTTCTGGCCTTCCCCAGTCTACCTAGCCTCCTTTGCTCTATTTTTAATTGGAGTCTCTCATAGAGAACCTCATGGACTTATTTCAGGACAAGATACTCTTTGTTTGGAGGGAGAAATACAAGAAGCAAAAGTAAAGTACAAGAATATTTCTACTGTCTCCACAAAGGAGGGTGCTACCATGGATGACTGAAAAGGGAGTGCAGGATCCCTGTGTAGAAGAGAGAGGACAAACCCAAAGTCAATATTCTCTGTAAATCACTTCACACCATGCGTTGCAGGGATTTTTAGAAAAGTGACACTTCACACAATCCCAAGATAATTTTCTTGTCCTTATTTACACAGTAAGCGGCACACTCAGAACTCAAGTCCAAAAATGCTAAGATCCAAAGGTAACTGTCTTTTCATTACACTCTCCTGCAGTGCACTCCTTGCCTTTATCTTGGAGAGCCTCCCCTTTCCATCAATCCACAGGAAACTCAGTTAGCATATGTTGGTGAAGCCCTAGGCCCTCCCATAATCCACTCTGATCTTCTGAATCAGCCTAATCTCCTGCCAAACCATGTCTTTGGAACTGAGGAAAAACCAGAAATTCATGTTAGGAAAAGATAAATGAAACATCACTTTCTTCTGGTTAGAAAATCAGTACAGTAGAAATATTCAGAGTTACACTAAATGGATCGAGTTTAAATCCTGCTTGGGCCATGTTTTGTGAGTCAGTTTAGGATATCTTCGAACTCTCAGCCTAGGGTGAGGTGTGTAAAAAGCTGTAATTCCTGCCTCACCTCTGCTCATGCTACTTTGAGAATCCAAATATTCACACTCACATTAAACATGAATATTGTGCATCTATAGACAAGGTATTAGAATAAATAACTATGTAAAATATATACTATGAGATAAAAATTCAATAAATGTTATCTATTTTCATCAACAAATATAATAGTCTCCATCCCCACCCCTTGAACTCTATTTCATTTTTCTCTTTTCTTTCTGTTTTGTCCCACCTTTCTCTATGAAGTTTATATATTAAAAAATGAAAGAAATACAGGAGATCTAATGAGATCTTCTCTGATTTCAGCCTCACACAATGCAATCTTCAGCTCATGTAATGTATTGGCTGATAATGTCTACTGACAGTTACTTGATGGAGTACTCATTGAGGAAATCAGGATTTGAAAAGCCTCCAGCAGGTGCATGCATACCAGCACACACACATGCAGCACATGAGGTCATGAAAATCCCTTCGATTTGTACATAATTAAAATAATCATTAGATATGATTTTAGGAGAAAATTACATTTACATGGAAATGTATTTAAAAGAAGTAAACTTTTTGCCAAAAATGATTTTAACTATAAAGTATTTTCAATTCCATATAAAATTTGTCTAAACACTTGAGTGGAGGGTAGCTTAATTTTGTTCCATTTCTACATAATGATAGGATCAAAATCAGATTCAAGTAGTAACTTACAATCAAGGCTGCTGAAACTATGCAGGCATATTTTAATTGATATTTTGTAGCATGGTTTTGACATGTTAACTTAGCAATTTTCTGTCTTTTCTTTATTAGTGCCTATTTGTATAAACCAAGAGGAAAGAAAGCATGGATAGCAGCTCTCTCAAGATAATGATTATGCACTGATAACAGAAATGAATTTTAAGCCTAACGGATGCTTCCAGAACTTTACACTCTATGGCCTTTGGTAAAAATAATTTCTCAAACATGTGATATATTGGGCCTAATCCTACCAATCATGGTGTGATGAGCCACACTTTTCTCTCGTTTCACAAATGGTCAAAGTTCCATAGAGTATCCTGAAAAGCTTAGAAAAAGCCATGACCTCTGGTGGTGTACCATTAAATCCCTCTGTATGTGTATCATCTGAATTTCCTCTTTGATCTAAATTTCTAAGATGAACAGTACCCTAAAAAATACACTAATACACTAATAATTCACTACTTGTGACAACATGAAACACTTGCATGGCAGCAAGCTGGGACACACCAGTCCACTACACAAAAGGCCAAAACATCAGTAATAGAAGCTAACTCATAGAAGTTAACACAAAGGTCTAGGATTATAGAAGTCTATTGTATAACAACATCACATGACCTGATACTTAATCCATGTAATGAAGAAAAGGTTTTTGCAAACAAATGGACTAGCAGAAAGCAGCCACAAGAAAAGAAGTGGGCAAAAAAAAGTGTGTGTGGGGGGGGGGGGTCTCAGAGGTGAGCATTTGGATAATGCTCCTAATTTGTATTTGTATATACATGCCCATACACTTGCTGTCCGTAGCCAGTTAACAGGTTTAGGATTCTGTCCTAAAACTCACCCAATCCCACTTAAAATGCATCACTCTCCAGCAAGCCTGAAAGCAGCCAATGAAGAGGCATGATGGCCACTACTTGCAATGTGCCTTCCCCTTTCTATCTAGCCTGTCAAGCAGCAGCCCATATTTTCCACTAGCTGCTGCTGGAAGCCTCTGCAGCGAACACCAAAAGGAAAAGCAACAATCCTGCAAATCCTGTAAAGTAGAAAAGGTGTCCGTACAAGTGGAAGTGGCATGAACTGCAACCGGGAAGGACAGACAAACTGACAACAGGACACAAAGACAGCACCAACAGCACACACCATCCATTACTTTCGGTCTCAGAAGAGGGAAAGCCTGCAGCACCAGAGACGATGCTCTTCCACTAGGGACAGGCAGCAGATTAACGATGCTTCTGCCTCCCTCAAGCCAGCAGGCTTAAAGTATTTGTTGTTTTGGGTGAGAAGGAACAGGAAATTCAGAAACCTGCTGCTCTTTATAGAATCAGGCCAGCTCTGGCCTTCCTCTTGAACAGCCCTCCTCTATAATTAAAGGACAAGAAGGACTTTGTTTCTCTTATTTTGTTGTGACCCAACAACCACATTTTCCCCCTCAGGCTGACAGTGGCACTGGCTGAGGATCCACAGCCTCCTCTCTCCTTCCCTCCCCGGTGAGGCACTGCTGCACGGAGGGGGAAATGGACACGAAGCCCTCCCAGCATCATTCTTCCTCCCTTCAGGAGACTCTCCTAAGTGATGGGAGAGAGGCCATGCTGGGGGTGCTCTGTGCTGCCTGCCACTTCTGCGGCCTCCTGACTCCCTTCTGGCCATCAGCTAACTCCAGATGCAACAGGTTCTGCTTGGTTCTTCATGCCAGTCCCCTGCCCCCACATACACCTGCTGGCCTCAGCATGCAGCCTTGAAGAATAAGTCCCCAGGCATGGTGTCTAAATCCTCCAGCTCCATAATGGGAAACTTTCCTGAAAATAGGCAGATTTCCCCGGGAAAGACAGGGTGAAGTCAATGAGGAAGCCCAATCTCTGCCAGTTCCTTGTAAGCAGTTTTGTCGGAGCAAGCAGCGGCATAGTGTCACACACTCCTGCACCACCAGCAACCAACCCCAAACCCTTGCATCTCCAGGAAAATGGGGCACCAGCCAGAGGTCTCCTGAAGGCTTGCTGGGCTCCACAGAAGGGCTGATAGGTACAAATGTTCAAACCCTCTCGGGCTGCTTGCTCCAGGAATACAGCAGGCCCTAGAGGGCTCCTGGTGCCCGGTAAAGGCAGACCTCTCTTCCATGCAGGCCAGATTCCCCGCAGCTTCTCTCACCATTAGAAACTTTGTATTGCCCATGACATTACATATGGGTAAGAAAATGTGTCTTCACTCAGGTATTCTCTATGGAAGACCAGGAATGAAAGGTTAAAGAGAAGCTGGGGAGGCAGGTTACCAAAGATGGCAACTGTCCAGAAAAGACCCAACCTTGATCTTTGAAGTAAATGAATGAGTAGCAAGATGAACACTAAAACTGAGCATTCTAATTATATAAAGACAGGCACCCTTCGGCGGGCCAGCCCCAACCTGCCAAACTACTCCACAAGAGCAGAGGAGCTGTTCTCAGCACCTGGACAGGCCACCACCCTCGCCTGGCCTCCTCAGCCGCTGCTGCCCCCCTCACCCGCTCCCTGCCCAAGACCCTTCCAGTTGTGCGGGTTCAGGTTCTCAGCTCCTGCACGAGGTGGCCCCTGTCCAGCCCTAATCCTCCTGGGCACCCCCATCACAAGCCATCCTCTCCTGGCTGGCTCCTCGGTTCCGGCTCGGTGACACCCCTCCTCTCTCCGCACCTCCCCAGCCCTGGCCTCACCCAGCTCAAACCCTGAGCCCCCTGCCCCCCAGCCCCAAGGCGGGCGCCTCCACCCGAACCCGGCACCGCGCCCACCCTTCCCCCACCCGGCCGGGAGCACTGGGCGAGTGAGTGGTGAATGGACGGAGGGAGGCACCGAGGCACGAAGGCTTACTTGAGCATGGCTTCTTCCTTCTCCTCCTCTTCCTTCTGCCGGTCCATCACTGCCATGATGATGTTCCTCTCCTCTTCGGTCAGGTGGCTCAGGTCGGGCAGGTCTTGCATCGGGGGAGGCACCGTAGGTGGGCGAGGACCGCGGGGCCCCACGGCCGAGGACATCTTGGTGGCCTGCCCGCCCCCTCCGCTCGCAGCTGGCTCTCACCTTTCGGATGCACGCCCAGCGGCTGCGCCCCTGCTTCCCCTCACAGCCGAGCCCTCCGGGCGGCGGCGGCGGCGGCGGTGGCGGTCAGGGGAGGAGGAGCGGCGGCGGTGGCGGCGGCGGAGGAGCTGGGGAGAGCGCGAGCCCAGGCTTTCATGGTTGTTTGCATCCACCCAGCCCCGGATGCTGTCTTTGTTTTGGTCGCCCTGGCGAGGCTCGGGGCCACCGGCCGCCTCCCGCAGCCGGGCCTGGGCGGCGGGGGCGGGCGGGCGTGCGTGGCGAGGGGGCGAGGGCTGGTGCCCGGCTCAGGCGATCCGGGCGTCTCCGCTGGGCGCGCGGGGCGGAGGCGGGGCAGGGCCCGGGGTCGGGCCGGGGCTGGGGTGCGGGCAGCCGCCGCCGAGGCTGCTCCCGAGCTCAGCTGCTTCCAGTTTGGGGCTGCGGGAGGGAGAGGGAGAGTTTGGGTGTCAATTAGGCGGAGTCTCCGAGGCTTCGCTCCCGGGTGATGCTGCTGCTCTGGCAGACAGAGCTCCCAGCCGCCCAGTCCGGGAGCCGCTCCGCCCACTCGCACCCACCCGCCCACTCCCCAAGTCCAAGCCACGCGTGCCCCGGCCGCTCCCCCCACGCTCGCTAACGTGCACGCCACAGAGTGCTATCCCCAGGTACCCCTCACCCGTGAGTCATCCTCCCTCTCTCGGTCCCTGGTCTATGTCATCCTCCCCTGTTTTTCCATGAGTTGCATTAATCATCATCATCCTCATCATCCTCGCTATCGACTTCATCATAGAGCATTAATATTATTTGAGCTCCCACAATGTTCTGAACAGCAGGGTGGAACACCCTCTGGACACTTCTTTTTCCTTTCATCCTGCCATCATGACTTACTGGTTTACTAGTCAAGTGTTGAGGGCAACAACAACGTAATTTTCTAGATAATTTTCATATACCATATAGATATGCATATACGCACCCCAGAACGCCCTGCATTTTGTAGGTACATTGTACTCTTCAATGCAGTGTCTTTCATGATCCAGTCTCTCTAGGACTGTTCTGCAGTGTATCCTAAGATGCCCCAAAACTCAGTGAACCACTAACCTGTCGTTAGGTGCTTTGGGTAGCCCCATCACTCCACATAAATGCACTTCTCTGGTGCTTGCGAATGGATTATCTACTCTAAATCCTCTAACGATACTCACTGTTCCTGTGCATTCATTTCTTAGCTTTTATAGTGACTTCTCAAGAAACACTGATCCCAGATAAGCAAAACATCCAGCCATATCCTATTGCATTTAAGAAGCCTCTGCTCACTGCCTTGCCCAATGAGGGCCATTACATATGGGCTTCTCTTCCTGAGAAAAATAAGCCCACAATATTGAAACATAGGTGAGGGTGTTGCATTGGAACGCTGGTAGCTGAATTTTGGTAAAAAATAATTATAAAAGAATCAATATTTGAATAGTTCAAACTGAATAATTTCCTTAGTAATGATGATGGGAGAATGGATGTTTCTCTCACTGGGGATTCTTCCCATAGTTCTTAAGATAGTTAGAACTCAAAGTAGGTCTACGAATATATGCAACCAACAATGCCTGAAACTGAGTGACAGTAATGCTTTCTAATCATTATTTTTTTAAAGATTTACCAATTTTTATTTGAAAGACAGGTACAGAGATAGGAGAGGTTTTTCATCCACCAATTCACTCCCCAATCACCAACAACAATTAGAGTTGAGTCTATTTGAAGCCAGGAGCCCCCTCTAGATCTTCCACTTGGGTGCAGGAGTGCAAGAACTAAGAAATCCTCCCCTACTTTCCCGGGCCATAAGCAGGGATTTGAAAGAGAAGAGGAGCAGCCAGGCTAGAAACACTGCCCATATGGGATCATAGCATTGCAGACAGAGGCTTAGCACGCTATGCCACTTCACCAGCCTCATTATCATTATTTTTGTTTAAATGGCATAACATTGCTCTCAGTTTGAGGTAGCCATGCCACTCAGAGGCTGTCTAGACTGACATCTTTAATTAAATAATGAATGAAACACCCCACTCAGTTTTTTTTTCATTAAAAAGCAAAACTGACTTAATTCCCTCATTGCAACATATATTCAGGGAAAAGAAAACTGAATTGGTATTCTGGTTTTCCCATGACTTTATGAATTTGGCCAAACCAATGAACCTGTCTGAATCAGTTGCCTTATCTGTAAAATGGTATGAAGATTTACATCTGCATATTAAAGAAGTATTAAATACAAAGACATTTGAAATGTATAAAAATGTGCTCAGCACTTGGTACATCTTTCTTTTTATTTCTTGCATTTTCAAAGATCGTTGTTTCATGACTCTGTGATTTCACAGAGGAGAACAGGAACAGAGATGATATGCCCACCTTGCAGGGGCCTCTCTCCTTCATAGTCAATATGGTAATGCAAAGACACAACCAAAACTTGTCCTCAAGACGTTTACAGTCAAGTTAGTTCATATGGAATACCTCAAAAACAGCAAATGAAGTCACTATAAAGCCTCAGCTGGCATTAGAATGAGCAGAGTAAAGCTCCTGAAGGCACGGATCTAATGAACACCAGTGCTTTAATTTGCTTCAGTTGCCATAAGAAAAAACAACACAGAAAGAGTAGCTTAGATAACAGAAATTTAATTTTTAAGAGTTCTGGAGACTATAAGCTTGAGGTTTTGGTATCAACATTTCTTTCCCCACCTGAGCTTCTCTGGTTGGAGGCCTCTGGTTGTGTTCTTGCCTGGCCTTTCCTATGGGAAAGGTGGCTCCAACACAAGGACTAGTGGCTCCCTTACAAGGATACCAGTTTATTAGACCAGCGTTTCACCATTATGACAAAGTCCAACCCTGGCTTCCACTGCCATGGTTTTACAGCCATGTTGTAAGGTACTGTGGGCGACAGTTCTAATGTAGCAATTTGGGGAGAAACATGATTCAGTCTGCAATTAATCAATTCCATTTATTAGGATCACTTTGGGAGAGGGTAATTTATGTGCAATTCTGGATGACTTAATGAAATGAAGTCTGTTTATCCATCATTTTCAGGATTACAAGTACTTCTGTAGGCTGTACATGTACATGTGAAATCTGTGTGCCTAACAGAATAAAGGATGAATAACTAATAGAATACCAGATGCCTTGGTGCAAAACTGCAGACACCTTTCCCTGGAGTTGGGTGTTTTCCCTTAATCAAGTAACTCATTCTTTTACGAAAGGGCTCAAGATCAGTTTTTAAAGTCCAAATATAGTGTTTCTATAAATTTAGCTTCAGAATAGCAGAGCTTACCTACACTTTGATAAGCAAGGGAACATCCTGAAATGTGTCACACAGATGACCAATTACTGGAGATACTCTGCAAAAAAAAAAAAAAATGTGAAGTTGTAAAAATAGACACAGGACTTCCATCCAAAAAAATCATAAGCAATTTTAGCAAATAAAAGTACTAGGAAGCAAATATTTCCCATAGCAAACAAATTCATTTTGCTTGTTTTGCTCTGGCATTTTCTAAATATATTGGAGCATGTAAGTGTGGTCTGTCATGTACAAAGCATTCCCTTTTATTTGTATCTTAATTTTTTTATTATTCTTATCATTTTATGATATAGTTCCATAGGCTTCTAGTATTTCCCTTATCCCAGCCCCAATTCCCCCCACCCACACCTAGTTCCTCTATGTCATTACTATGGTATAGTTCTTCATACACAGTCATATGTCCATCATTGTGGGCATGGACAATGGCAGAGAGTCCAGCATCCTATTTTCAAGATATAGTAAACAGGTTCATTGGGAGTCCATCTTTGTCTGAAAGTGGAAATGCATACTACATTGTATCCTTACATCTGGATATGTTAGTCTCCATTTCACAGCTACTGTACATCCCCTCAAATGAAAAATCATAATACAAAATCAATAGAAAAAAAAATTTTACAATGCCATGAAGTTAAATAACATGTTACTAGATATGACAATCTCCATTACACAGATACTAAACATCCCCTTAAATGAAAACCACAAAACAAAATCAACATCAGGAAGAAAAAAGAAATTAACAACACCATCAAGTTAGGGAGAAGCCTGTGTTTTACTCCTAGTAATCAAGCAGCATTAAGCCTCTAATGTAATTCTTTTTTTTTTCAAGATTTATTTATTTTTATTGGAAAGGCAAATATACAGAGAGGAGAGAGAGGAAGATCTTCTGTTTGATGGTTCACTCCCTAAGTGGCTGCAATGGCTGGAGCTGAGCCAATCTGAAGCCAGGAGCCTCCTCCAGGTCTCCCACTTGGGTGCAGGGTCCCAAAGTCTTGGGTCGTCCTCAACTGCATTCCCAGGCCACAAGCCTCAAGTGCTATCACACCAGACCCTAATGCAATTCTTGGACAACCAATGAAATCCATAGGGAAAAAATCTTAAATCTCTATTCACAACATATGTAGCAAATGCTCTTAAGGTCAGCTCTGGGGCACAATAGCCTAACAGCTAAAGTCTTTACCTTGAACTTGCCAGGATCCCATATGGGCACCAGTTCTAATCCTGGCGGCTCTGTTTCCCCATCCAGGTCTCTGCTTGAGGTCTGGGAAAGCAGTCTAGGACAGCCCAAAGCCTTGGGACCCTGCACCACGTGGAAGACCCAGAAAAGGCTCTGAGCTCCTGGCGTCTAGCCATTGTGGCCGCTTCAGGAGTGAATCACTGGATGAATGATCTTCCTCTCTGTCTCTCCTTCTCTTTGTATATCTGACTTTCTTATGACAATACAATAAATCTTTTTTTAAAAAAAGTCAACTCTTAAATTCATGCCTAGTATAATACTCAAACTATGATGTAGATAAGATTTTTAACTTCCTTCTCCACTCATACTCTAATATTCATTTCTCAAAATGAAATTGGGCACTACTGTTAACTTACTGTAAATTAAAAACAGAAGTTTGTAGCTTCTGAGTAGAAAATCATTCT